CCAGCACAGTATGTCTGCTTTTCATTCCCCCACGACAATAAAGTTAGTCTCAATCTGCACCTCAGGGAATACATCTATTTTTAACCCCAGTGAAGTTGAGATATCTTGTGGGAGAAGGACAGCGAGTAAGAGAAGGAAAATAGGAGATGCGAGCCATCTCAGATGGCAAGACTTTTGAGCTTATTTAAAAAGTACACCCTCAGCGCAAGTTATTCTGACTCTCCCTGTCCAGAAAACATTTGATTTCCCAACATTCACATGAATGCTCATTACTGTCTTCGGCCATTGCAGCTAGTAGCATCTAGCTTTCATACAAAGAGACACAATGTGGTAACCATGGTTACTTATGTGGAAGAAAAGACTTGAAATAGAAAGAGACGACATGATCAGAAATAGATGTTTTTCTTGCAGGGAAAACTTTAAATAAATCCAGCTGCACATTAAGAACAATGATTAGGGCAATGGTACCAGAGGCCTGCCAAACTGATTCCTATCAGACAATAATGTACAAAAAATGTTTTTCATGTCTTCGCATCTAAATTAGGGGCTTATAACCCCCCCCCCCTGCTGTATCCCAGTGCAGAGGGACTGACAAGGCTACTTAGTAGATGAATGATCCTCTGGTGCAGGAGAGAAAACATTTAGCAGTCTTATGGAAGAATAAACGATAAAGCGAGACACTTTGCATTTCCTCCTCGGCTTGGAAGCATCTCCATCGTCCGTCATTTTCTGACAGCAGGAACAAAACTTCACAACATGAGATCAGACCCAGGGACCTGAACCGTGTGCACGTCAGACTTCAAGGTCACATGTGGAAATAAGTCTGTCAATATTCGTACGTTGCTTTGCTTCTGTTTAGCTTGTTGGCAGAAGTTGCAGATGCTCAAAAAGACGTCAGACTCACAGAGTAAACGGTTCAACAGATCAATGTTTCTTCTCTTTTTTGTTGTCAAAATGTTTTGTTTGTGCTTCCTGGAACACCTTCACAGAGCAGCGATGTGAGTCCTGCATTCAGCCCTCCACTATTATCTGGGCTCGGAGCCAGGAAGGCTTTCCTTTGCAGAGAAGTAGGTGATGGGGCGTACTTTGTCTGGCCTGGAACCTCCCTTATTGTCAGCCACTGGGGACTTCTGGATTCTAAAAGAGCACATGAGTAGGACATTCAAAATAGTGTTAAGTTTTAAACAACTGGTGTGTGTGTGTGTGTGTGTGTGTGTGTGTGTGTGTGTGTGTGTGTGTGTGTGTGTGTGTGTGTGTGTGTGTGTGTGTGTGTGTGTGTGTGTGTGTGTGTGTGTGTGTGTGTGTGTGTGTGTGTGTGTGTGTGTGTGTGTGTGTGTGTGTGTGTGTGTGTGTGTGTGTGTGTGTGTGTGTGTGTGTGTGTGTGTGTGTGTGTGTGTGTGTGTGTGTGTGTGTGTGTGTGTGTGTGTGTGTGTGTGTGTGTGTGTGTGTGTGTGTGAGAGATATGGAGCTGACGGTGAGAGTGGGGGCAGCCCGGTGCCAGCGCAGCCAGTGGGCGGGAATGCCTTCTGTTACTTTTTACTTCCAGGTCACCTAGCATCACAGAGGAGAGGATAGAGATCTGTTTTTCCTGTCCTATCTCTAATGATAGACTTATTTAAGTCCAAAGGTACAAAAAGTAAGCATTTGCAACACGTTATCCACACACCATCATACCCAAGAAATATGTTTGATGTCTTGACTGCAAGCATTCATCAAGAGTGGAAGGCCAGAATTAAAAGACGCCTATTATAATTCTGATAATGTATTGCTTATTCATGCACCCTCTGACCGATTTGCTAAAGCAGACCTGACTCACTTTACAATGACAACTTAATAATGATTTTTTTTTCAGACAGTAGATTAGGGCCAGCTCGCACAGACGCATTCAAATATAACAGCGCAGTTCACTAACTCATCGGTTTGGACATTATTTGTCAATTCAATTGTGCCATTTGCTCAAAACGTTGCTTTAAAAATGTGAATATGCCATCATAAAGACAATTTCCACTCATTTGACTTCACAACCTTTCCATCCTTTGTTCTGTTTCTCTCACACATGCACCCACTTTCAACTACAGTTCTCTCATCATGGCTTTTATAATAATCTTGACGTCCTCAGCTTCTGCACCTTTACATCTTTTAAGAAATACTAAAAAAAATTGAAGCAAGCATTACCTTTTGCACCTCAAATCATTAACACAGACATATGATTCATCTGTTTATTCATTTTTTTGCAGCTGGGTTTTATGAGTTTCTCCACACATTGACCCTCTGAGGAAGCTTGTTCAAGCACAATCAGTGAGAGATCTGCACCATAACATCACAACTTGACTGTTGGGGTGCAAAGGTTGCAGTTTAATGTTTGTATAGGCTATTAAACCTGTTAAGCCCCGAGCCTGTTTTTCAGGTTTCAGGCTCGAAAATGACATGCCCAAAACAAATGACTACAACTTCACTTCTAAAAGGGTTATATGAATAATTTCTTTTATCAAAGCAAGGTTACATCTGTGAGTTGGATGTAGAAGTGTCAGAATCAATATAGATTTTTCTCAGTCAGAGTAAATTCAGATGGAACATAGTAAAAAAAGGTAAATTCTTACCTCCGCCTAAAGAAAAAACATTACTAATGTCGCGTTTCCACTACACGGCCTCGCTCGGCCCCGCTCGGTATGGCTGGGCCTCGTTAGGACTGGCTCACTTTATGGCGCATTTCCATTACAGTTTAGGAACTGGGGCAGTATCTATAGTAACGCAGTGTAGGCGGAGCCGTGACGTGATCTTCAGAGGACCCCAGAAAAACAACACAGCCGTTAGCTGTTAGCACTCAGAGCTCACAGCTCCTCATATATGTTCAGAAACTAGACAAAAGTTAAACAAGTACAAACCACAGACTGCCTGTGTCATGGTGAATACAGTCGCTGCTTTATTTATGTCTGTATAGGCCGTTGTTGTGAGTGTGGACGGTTGGAGCATATACTGCGTTAGCTTAGCCAATCTCCATTTAGAAAACAAGCATTTTAAAAGGTTTTTCCCCTGCCGTCTGTCTGCAGACTTGACAAAGCATTAATTCATGGTTTTACCATCAGTATGTTGTTACTTCGGCATCATTTTGAAACGTGTATTACAATTAAATCACGGTCAAATATGTCCATCTTGTTGTAGTTGTTGCCCCCTTGCCAGCGACGCTCTCTCTAGTTTAGCATACTCAGCCCGACGCAGCCTCGTTGTCTCTGGCCCTGGACCCACGATTTTATGAGGCCAGAAAAACTGTGAATTAGGACCCGCCGGCCGGTACTAGGCCAAGTGGAAACGCAACCAAAGACGGGCCGCTGACGTCACAGCCCTCTTAAACCGGGCTGCGGGCTATAGTGGAAACGCGCCATTATAGTGAAAACCACCCTTGAATGATGGGATGGTAGACTAAAAGCTATAACATATAATAAGTACCCTGTATCAAGATTGAGGCAAAACAAGTTAAAGTTGACCTTTTTAGGTCTTAGCAAAAAAAAGTTCCAGGCGGAATAAGCTTTCGGCACATTTGGGTACATCTGGTTCCATCAGTGCCATTTGACCTTTTTCAGGTACCAGACTATCAAAATGATGTATTACATTGAATTATCACCATAGGTATTCATTTCATCCAAAGAAAAAAATGTTTAATAAAAAAAATTAATAAAAAATTTAAAAATTTAAAAAAAACTTTTTTTTTTTTTTTTTATTTGTGAAAAAAAGAAAGACCCGCAGACGGGGGCTTTGGGGCTTAACAGGAGGAAAATGCAGTCTTTTTATTACCTGGGACCTGTTTACATTGCAGCTATTTCCACTTACCTTGCAGAAAACAGACACAATGATGGTCATTGCAATAAGGTCCAACAATGCAAATAACACAAGTGCTCAGACAACCAAACACCTTAAAAATCTCCAGTTTTATCGCAATTATCCCAATATAAACCACCAATTGTTTTCAAGTGAAATAAAAAGTTGAACGCCCCAAACTGTTTGCTTAAAATATCTAATGCACACAAAACTGCTTACTGGAAGCCTTGAAGGGAAGATATTACAGCATTTGATAACACAAGAAACTTGTATCTTTTGTTTTCAATGTCTTTAAAATCAGTTGATTCTTTCTGTCCATGCTAACAGGTAAACATGTATTCAGTCGTTTCTGTTGCAGCCCCATTATGTGATTTTAATAATGACACAATTGTAAACCTTAAGGCTGCAGTGTAGATTTAAATATTGATTGGATCAGATATAAAACTGAGGGGAAATTCCCCAGCCTGCCTGAGTTTCTGGAGGATCTCTCCTTTAAAGGCTCTCAGATACAGTACATCCTGGCTTTATTGCAGCTCTGTGTATCTGTTTTATTAAATGAGAAGCAGGGAGAGAGAGCTCCTCAGATGAACCATTCGCAAGATACATAAAAATGAAAATAATCCTTATAATAATGGCAGAAACCAAGGCACCAGGGACCTCTTTGTGTCTTCTCTCGTGTAGGGCTTATTAGTTTTCTCACTGGGTACAATCTAGGCCCCGAGGGAGGAAAGCTGCTCTTACAGAGTCATCCAGGGAAGGATTCTTACATAACAAGTCGTATAATGTCAATGAAAAGGGCCTATTTAAAGGAGCATGAATAACACGAGGGAAAAACTGCATTAATTGATATTGGAGGTTCAATTAATTGGTCATTTAAAACATTTGGATAGAGTAAATGGATGCTTATGCAAATTAGATTAAAACTAGCTGCAATACTGTTGTCATCTTATTTTTTAATGTTAATGATATGGGCTGCATTCTGTTTCAAATGAGACCTTTAAAGACCAATATTCCATGTTCATGGATTCAAGAGTGTTTTTTTTTTTTTAAAGTAAATAAGCAACATGCAGGAGCAGTTCTCGCTCTGTCAAAACGCCGACCCCTTTTCCATGAATTATTTCTTATTGCGGTTTACTCCCACGGCTACTGAGCGTCTGACCCGCGCACGAGCCTGTGCTGTCGGGAGCGCGCAGCAATCATGCCTCATCCGTCGCACGCCTCGCCAGCATCGGAAAATAGAACAAGAAATTCGTCTTTTATCTAAAAGAAAATACCGGCTCTTTTAGCTCTCGTGGTTTCGCAAGATTACCCGCTTCGTGGTTGAAGAAGCTGACATTTTGTGTCCATAATTAGTATTTTTTCCCCCCCTCTCCATTCAGTGAGACAAAGAGGGCAACAAGATACAAGAGGAGTACAGCTGTGGTGTTTCAGGGCTCATCCTTCATTTTCGCAGGTCATTTCTTTAAGTAACCTGCCGACACTCCTGACGCTGAGCAGTTTGGGGAGGTAAACGACAGGAAGACACTTCAGCGGACCTGAACTGATGCCACTCAGTGTTTTCATTCCCGGAACAATGAGCCCGATAGGAGCCTGAAACATCTCGTGAAAGGTAAGAGGAGACTCGCACAGCTGTTTCTAATCAGCCACTGATTAGCTCATTTTGACTTGGGTGTAGGAAAACAGCGAGTCTTCACCCGAACAGGTGGTGTCCTGCAGCACAAGCCGCTCAACTGATGACAGAGAAAAGTAAAATAATCAAATTGAATTAAATGTTACATTCCTGTGGACCTTACATGCATATCTGACCTATTTCGAGAGAGTATCGTTGTAATCAAATTGCATGCACGACCAATGCGAATGAGTAAGTGACCTAATCGAATTGCAAACATAAGGTTACACTGAGTGAGAAGCCTCCTTTTCATTAAACCTGTGTGGTGATTACTAGAAATGGCCAGGCTTATGTATTTAAGGGAAAATTCACTAGTAATTGGAACAAATTGGTGTAGACTATATGCAGTTTTCACATATCATCCTGCAAACACACAAAAGAGGGACATGCAAACTTATGAAAGGAATTTCTGCAATGTGTTGAGCAAAAATCTTAGCAAAGCTTTACGCCTCTTGTTTTTATCAATGCAATTCTAGGCTTTCTTGGTGTTTCCTTTTAGCTTTTTTTCCTCAAAAGGTAATTTGCAATATTCAAATCTGTGTGATTTGCTGATATTAAACCTTAAAATGAAGCTGCTCAAAAGAAAAGAAGGATATTTGTTTGTCATGAGAGATTATTTAGACACCAAAAATGGTGAGTGTAGCCACATATTGACACTTGTTACAATTTAAATAAATAGTTTTCACCATGCATATAATCTAAATGTATTTGTGGCAAAGAAATACAACATAATTGCCTCTTGAGCTTTACTAATCTTCAGACAACTACTGACACAAGTACAGAAAGATAACTTATATTTAGCTTCAAGAGAAGTCCTGCTTTAATCTTGCAACTTAATTTAGTGTCATGATGACAAAAGGCAGAGAATGAGCAGGCAGTTGAACTATTATTTAAATAAGTTTCCCGTGGAGAGGTCAGGGCAGAAGCAGAGGAGAGAGTGGATCACATGCAGTGGCAGGTCACAAAGTGGCCGTGCAAGCCAATGATCACATTCACTGCTCAGAGAAAGTGCTGTAGACCACATGTGACAGTTGCTGCTACACCACAAAGCCTCACAACAGACATCTCAGTGTTTCACGGGGCATGTGTGACATTTTGTTTGTCACACGTTTGGCTCTGTCATTTTGTGACCGCGTTAGCCCGTGTTCACACTGTTTTACTTTTATTTGACACACAACACAACAAAGTGCATTTCCTTGTTCAGAGTGATATGTCAATGTAGCATTAATGACCATAAGTATTTCGAAAATATAATTTGGACTCTTCAAGTCCCCTTAAATGTGATGCCTGTTTCCAGTACAATGTCCAGAGCTCCTGCCATATGGTGCCCAGTGATCCAGCTACAGTCATAGCTGGAGGTAGCCTAACATTTACAGGAAGAGAGCCTCTAGGGTTACATTTGTGATGGAAAATTCAACTACTTACTCCCTGACAAGCCATGCTCTCTGCAAAGAAAAAGTGCTTACGATGCGCCTCAGTAACATCAAGCACCATGTTGGATTCTGACCTTTAAATACCTTTTAACCCATTAGTAAATCCTTCGGAACAATTGACACTGATTGCACCATTACGCCTGGTAATCTTATATTTACCACAGCTTTGTGCTACTGGAAAGTCAGGTGAAGGAGTTATAAAAATCACAGTAGATGAGACACATCAGTGCTGGGAGATTTCTGTTTTCTAATGACTGAACAGTGTTTAAAGGGCCCTATTATGCAAATGTTCAGGTTCAAATCACTATTTTGTGTCCCTTCTGTGACATGTTCACATGCTTTAATGGTCAGAAAGGTTTTTCTTTTTCTCATACTACCTGTGCAGCAGCATCTGTTTTCGCCCTCTGTCTGAAAAGCCCAGTCTTCTCTGATTGGATGTTAGCCTTTACAGACCATTTTACATGGACATAAACCTATATATATATATATATATATATATATATATATATATATATATATATATATATATATATATATATATATATATATATATATATATATATATATATATATATATATATATATATATATATATATTATATATCTATATCTCTATATCTATCTATCTATATATATATATCTCTATATCTATCTCTATCTACATATATATATATATATAACACACTACAGGAAGGGGAAAACCCCCAAACAACATTATAGGGCCTCCTTAAAGCCTCTTTGGGTGTATCACTAAACTAGGTTATAAACTAACTGTGGAAGAAAATACCCATTTGAGGATGTGTTGATGAAAGAGCACAACAGAACCAATGTTACTGCATTGAAAAATCCAATTAGAGCTCAAGTTTTAGATTCCCTATTTATGGTTATGGCTCCTTCAGCTTGGCAGAAGTACCTAGGAGCATAATGCTATTGATATTATTTGATGGAGTTTTAATTAGTGCTTATTAATCTAATGCTATTTGAAATGTTTTGAATCCTGTTTCACCAGTGTGAGATCTACTTCAATCAGTGTTTGCAGCCTCATTAGAAACTCTCTCCTGAACCTGATTAATTAATGACTGATGGATACCTTCCCCACCTTTCCATTGTAAAAATAATGGGCACATGTTTGATTAAAGAATGAATTAGAACAAAAAAAACGGACTAATGTTTGTCAGTCTTTTGATAGGGAGACTATTAAGTACGACACATTGTAAATCTAAAAAGAGACCCATTGGCAACATTGATCAGAGAGAGGGGCCAATAATTCAATAATTTGCCAGTTTGATGTATAATGTCCAGCAGGAGGATATAGATCCACTAGAGAAATGAGGAAGGTCGTAGGTCAAGGTCGGATAAGCACTGTTGTAGTAGCTGGTCGTGTTTCTCTGACTCTGTTTAGAGAGAGCAGGCGGCTAACCTCTCCGCCTCCCTGCTGTGCATTAGTGAGATGCTGTGATTAAACGGAACGGGCATTTGCTCACAACATGTTATTGTTGTTGTTTCAGTCCTTGAGTATTAATGCTTTTGCATATTTGATGTCTGGTGTCACATGCTGTACAGTAAGTAGATAATTTACAATGACAGCCACTAAGCAAAGTTACTAACCACAGGAAGATTATTATACACTTTATCAAATACACATTGTCATCTTTCATCAAAATGCAGAGCCATCCAACTCAGATAAACTGTGGTTTCAAGGCAATGTTTCATTCATAGTAGGAACTATACCAGCGACTGAACTTTGGCCCTCTGATAGCCCAATAGACTGGAACAGAATGCTGATGTGGACAGAAGGCTCAGGGAAAATGGATTAAAGGAGCTTTTATGTTCCTGCCTGAGACGGACACAGTTTCTTCTATCGATGAGGCTGGTTCGGTCTCTATTTGGGCAGTTCAATATTCCTAATTGTAGATAAACTGTTGTCATGTTCCATCATGTTATATTGCAATGTACATGACGTAGATGTCGAACATTATTTTGGCAATGAGAAACGTACAGACTGAACTCTGAAGTACTTCCTTCAGTAAACAAACTATAGAAGATGAATGTGTTTGCTTCTTGTTTGTTGTCCCGGTGTATAAGGCTCAGTTTTCTAATGATGATGTCCTTACTACAAAGGATCAGAGGATTTTGGAAAATGCAGGGACATTGTGCCAGTATTCTTTCATGTCCCCTTTTGGAAGTGCTTAGCAAGAGTAAAATGGACTTGATATGAGAAATGACACACAAGGACTGATAGTAGACCAGTACAATGACAAAGCAGTCACTCTTTACATTTGTATATTTACTTCATAAACATGCAGTTAGTGTGATCCAAAGTTTGTTGTCTGCTGAATGTTTTCTTCAAGACTGATGCAGTTGCTATGCTACATATGAAGAGATTCAGACTGGTGGCAGTGCAGTGGAGCAGAGCGCCTCATGTGATGGTGGTTCACCAGTGGCCGATCTTCTGAAGGGATGATAAGGACATGTCAGAGACCGGTGACACGATCAGCCCTCTGGCTGTCTTCAATGTGACCACAGTCCTGGTTTAATGGATTTTGACTAGGAAGGTCATGCTTTTGCTAAAAAGTTGAGCTGCTAGCTGATAAAGTTTATGTTAAGTACATTCAGAAATCAGCTACTTCGCTGTAATGCAGCCTTTCCATTTAGAAGAAGACACCTTTGCAATATTGCAATATTCAAAATCTAAGAAAAGAAAATATCACGTTATCAATATAATATGGATATACCTCCCAGCCGTACTGCTTCCTCCTTTGGGTACAGAGCCCAGCGTGAACACTGAGAGGAGACCCACAGAGGAAACAGGAATCTTGATAGACTTTAATTAAGCCTTGGCTAGTTTAAGGCTTTGTTATGGCATATTGAATGAAACCAGACATAATTAAATATGTAGACAGATAGTAAAGTAATGAGGTCATAGAGTAGAAAGGCACTGGAAATGACACTCGGCCGATAACCAGTGGGAACGACAAGCTGACATGGATGAAATACTTTTTTTACTTGGTCAAATTCATTTTATTTTACGACTCTTTTCTGTGTTTGTGTTCAAGCCAGTCCTGCCGGTCATTTTTCACGCAAGGCGGAACCTCTCCTGGACTCTCATTGATAACTACATAATGAGCACTCACTGAGGATGAGTAAGATTGATGGTGTTTTGGCTTCTGAGGGCCGTTGTCATCCCTCATGCGGTGAACGAGAGCTCTACGCTTGCACTTTGTGGACGACACCATGCATCATGCCTAAACTGGCTACAACAACAATATATCCTTAAGGATAAAGTGCGTGCAAGGTGTTATATACATAACCATAGTATAAACAATTGTATATATCATTTATTAGTTATTGAACTCCTCAGATAAAAGGATACAAAGTAGAAATATCCATTTTGTCCTGTGTAATTGTTGGAATATGCGTCATAAATCTAATGATCGTATTCTGACAATCTCAATTGTTGTGATCATTTCCGTGTCCTTAACGGCTGTTTTCATACTAGGAGGCTTT